GCTAAAAAAGGCACCCAACCTTCATGTCGATGGCGCCACGGGCACCAAGAACAGGCGAGAAAAGCCTCGTCTTCTTCACCCTGTTCTTCTCCCCCTGTATTACATCGGCAGTAGCCGCTAGTGTACCAGTTTAGCAACCCTCTCTCACATCTCGTCGAACGTGATCTATTCCGCCAGCCTCAAATCCTCTCGTCGTCCTGCCTCGCCAGCTATGGCTGGCCTGGGCGATGCCGACGATGGCGGGGAGGATGAGGATGACGCCCCACCCCCACGTAGCTCGACCCCACTCAGCGGGTTAGACTTTTTGCGTCGCACGAACGCCTCCCCAGTAGACCCTCCTCCGCTCCCGAAGCGTCGAATTACCACCCCCCCAGTAGAGCCTCTGCCGCTCCCGAGTCTAAGCAGCGACGAATGGGAGCGTGAAATGGAGGAGGCGAATCTGTCGGTTGACAAGCCGGCAGATCCTCCACCTCCGGATCCCGTGCTCTCGCCGCCGGCATCTGCATCAACATCGTTGGCTAAGAAGAGACGGCGGTACCAGCAGAGATATCTCCCCTTCGCGCCTCCTTCCAAGATAACGCCGCCAACAACCCCTGCCCCCGCCGTTGAAGCAGAGCGACCCCTCGCACCAACGTCGGCCGAGATGAAGGCCAAAGCTTATCTTGCTGCTCAAAAGAAATATACCTCAGATTGGCATGGAAGGTTTCCTTGGCTCGTCTTGGATAAAACTGACGATGGCTCACCCTGTTTACGTTGCAGCGTGTGCATGCAGCATGGCAAGCCGACAGCCCGCTACGGTCGCGATGGGCCTGGCGGCAGGGACTTACAGATTGGCAGCATGCGGTGGCACGAGGAGAGCACCAAGCATGAGGCCTGCGTGCAGAAGCAAGCTCACCTTGACAAGGAAATCGAGAACCAGAAGCGCATGGACAACTTCGCCAAGAACGACCCCGACGCCACCCGCGTCATCAGACTTTTACGCTCCATGCTATTCATCTGTAAGGAAGATGCCCCGATTTCAATGTTCACACGTCTAATCGGTCACCTGTCGCAGGAGGGGGTGAAGGACATACCCAAGCAGACTTACGGCGCGTACATCACGAAGTAAGCGCGCTGTCTTCATATTTGTATAATCTATTGAATACGGGACTGATATCTAATCTGTTGTCTTATTGTATGGTGTTTGTCGCAGGTATGGGTTCAAGGAGATGGTGAAAGCCATGGTGGCTTTCTTGAAGGCACAGCAGATGGAGCACATCCACTCCCCCCCGTTCATCGGCATCAGCTGCGACGAGAGTACCGACCGCACCCGCGGAAAGCATCTCATCGTTTTCGGCACCTTCTTAAAGAAGCGGCGCGTCGTCACTGAGTTCTTGAGCCTGCTCACCATCGACAAGTGTGATGCCGCGTCGCTCCAGTCTGTCCTGCTGGGTCACCTGGAGGGGAGTGGCATTGAGCTTCAAAAGATCGCCGGTATTAGCACCGATGGGGCGTCGGTGATGACCGGCGAGAAGAACGGGCTCGTCGCTCGTCTCCGACTGCGTATCCCGCACCTTGTCGCTTGCCATTGCATCCCACATCGATAAGACTGCCATTGCAGTACCCTCCTGTCCATGTCTCTATGATTATCCATGCATGTTTCTAACCTCACTTGTGCCTTGGTGCCATCGCAGAGAAGCGCTGGCGGTCAAAGACGCCTCCAACTCCTTCCCCGACCTGTTCATCGTCGACGTGATCATCCGAGCTTTCGGGGAAATCGTCGGTCGCTCGACTCCGTGGTACGAGAGGTTCAAGGCTCTGCAACTTGTCATCCACGACACGAACCTCGAACATCAGGGGCTCTACGCTATAAGGTGGCTTGCACGTGGTGACGCTGTGCGGCGACTCTGCAAGATTCTCGGCGCAGTCATCGTCGTCTTCATCGAGTACAAGCACAAGCACGTCGCGCTGCTGAAGTCCTATAAGTTCCACTTCTGCCTTAACTTCCTCGCCGACATCCTCGCTGAGCTCAACACTCTGAACAGGTTTTTCCAGCGCCGCACGGTAAGTTGAATGGTTTTCTTTCCTGTCGTGGCTCGTTGAGTTGATTAATAACTTGGGCGTGTGTCTGGCGGGAAACAAGTTCTAACATCCGTGCCCTTTGCCCTTGCCCTCCCACCCCGACCTTCAGGTGGACATCACGCTCGTCACCCAAGAGGTCGACCGCACTGTCACCTACATCAAGCACCGATACATCGAGTACGGGGAGCGGTTCGGCGGCGGGCTGAGCAAGCAGCTCGACAAGTTCCTCGCCCGCTACAAGGAGGGTAAGGGGTCGCTCGAGGTGCATGGCATCGCGGCAGATGGCTCTCCCTGCACGCACAAGTTCGAGCTCACCTTGTCGCGCATCCCGGGACATGCGTTCGGCGGCACTCCTTCCGACTGCGAAGACCTTTGCACGGCGTTCGCCAAGGAGACAGTGGGGTGCTTGGAGGGGCGGCTGTGGGACATGAAGCGGATGGAGGGGTCGAAGCTCTACAAGGTGGACCAGTGGCCCAAGAAGGCAGAGGTGCGGGAGCGCCAGTGCCGCAAGTGGGCTGAGCAGAACATGGCGCTATTTGACAACAAGCTGCCAGGTCAGTGGCTTTAAAAGAGGTCGTGTCGTATGTCTTGAATATGGTTAGATGCGGTGCCTCTGTTATTTCAACACCTCCTTTTCGTGCCATTATACGCCCCTACCCCCCCCCCTCCCTCCTCGCCAACAGGAGTCGAACTGCGAGCGATGGAGCTGGAGCTGAAGACCTTTTGCCACATCATGAAGACTCATCGCAAGGACGACGACTTCGCCCAGGGTTTGGCCAATATGATGAAGACGAAGGACTGGTACAAGTCCTACCCGAACCTGATGCGGATGTGGCAGGCGCTGGCGGTGTTGCCCTTGAGCACCGTCGAGTGCGAGCGCGGATTCTCACGGCAGAATGTCATCAAGGGATGGCATCGCACAAGCCTGTGCGATGCCACCCTTGGTGACTTGATGACCATCAGCATGCTGGACTACGACATGGACTACCCCCAGATCGTGGAGAAGTGGAGGCGCATTAGTCACCGTAGGCAAGCTAGGAATGTTGAATTTGAGCAGGAAATCCCCCTCTTCCCACAGCAGAAGGATGTCGCAGAGAGCTCAGACGATGAGAGTGTCGGAGGTGAAAGTGGGGATGACAAGGAGGATGATGATGATGAGTTAGTCATGTAATATTGTGCTATGCTTTATTGCGAAAAAAAACTATTGCTGTCACTATTTTACTCTGTGCAACTAGCACTTTCACCAGAGCTGGAAAAAATACCACTCTGACTAGCCAGAGTAAAAAAATAAAAATTATGGGGTTACTCTGATTCCTCAGGGAAAATGTTGAGGACCACCCTAGTTTTCAGAGTAATGGTGAAAGAAGCTTCCAGATTTCAGAGTAGTGAAAAACCAAAGATCAGCACTGGTCCAGAGGCTGAGAGACCAGTGGCGGTCGTGGAGACATGTACTCCAGTAGTTCCGGAAGTTGATCCGGCAAACGGTGCTCGTGATGAACCAGTCATTGTTGACAGTAGTCTTAAGTCCAGATAGCTCTCATATTATGTAATAATTCGACAGGTGTTTGCAGGAGTCTAAGTATAGAATCTGCAACCACAAGTATTTAACCAAGGATCTTTGTTGGAATGGTAGACTAGTAAGACAGCGGAAGTCTTATAAGAGTGAACCTGAGCACATGAACTTGTGGATAGTCGAAGGTTGAATAACCTGAGTACATAATTACGTGGAAAGTCAAGGTTGTTGTGATATAATTGATACTTAGCATTTCTGTAAGTCGATTAAGTGTAGTTAGTGTCGAATCATACTGTAGAAGACAAGTCCGTATGATGACGTCAGCAAATAGCGCTCGTCATAGGACAGTCGTTTCAGTCACGCGAACAGTCGCACCTCTTCAATATCGTTTAGAGCGCATAGCGCGATAGTGACGAACAGGTACATTAGCGAATAGGTACTTTTCCTAGAACTATGAATACTTGTTAGGTCTTTTCATTATTAACTTTGATTACCCACAAGTTCACATACTCAGGTTATTCTACCTTGACCTTTGCATTTTACAAGACTTCCGCTGTCTTACTAGTCTACCATTCCAGCAAAGATCCTGGACCAACACTTGAAGATTTGCCAAGTGTTCGTGTTTATAGTTTTTTACTTAGTCTACTACAACATCAAACGTTTTATTTCAAAGGTTAATAATAGAAAGGCATTACAAGGATTTATAGCTCTAGGGAAAGTACCTGTTCGGCTAGTTGCGCACTATGCGACCTATTCGTCATACTATAGGGTCGCCACTGTTCGCGTTACTGAAACGACTCGTTACGCCTAATCGCGTAACTGAAGCGGTATGCTGACGTCATCCCAAGACGCGGGATGCTTTGCTGACATCAGCACTCGGGAATGGTTGCTTACTGAGAAACTCGATACTGCTAACTACACCAAAAACGGAACTTGTAGGAATGCATAACTTCATTTACCACAACACTGACATCATCATGCGCACCCTTCTATATGAGGTATCGCACTACTAGTACAGTCGAAGTATGATGTCAGGAAAGTACAAATGGTAACTCAAGCGAGTAAACTTCAACAACGTAACCTTTCTAGAAAGGCTAAGGGTTGGTTGAGCTATTCTAATCAACATATGAAACAATCATAAATAGAATATGGTGTCAAGGAATCGAGCACTCGGTCTCCAGACAATCTACTGCTCCACCACACAGAGCAGACTTCCAGCAGGCTGAGGCAGCAAGGGTCACCCCACGACGGTTACCGCTTTTGTTCATGTCCACTCTGCTCTCCTTTCCCTCACCTCTGCCTGATCTGCCAGCCAAATCCACTTCCCCTACTTTCGTGAGCCGTAACCATTCGTCCTCTCCCAATCCTCCACAACTGCACCTGACCATCACTCTTACCTTGTGCTTTCTCAGCTTCCACTTAACTCTCGTCCTCCCCCACTTGATACTTAAACCTCTCCCTCTTTGATCTCACCCTCCTCTCTGTCTTCTTCACCCTCATCATTACCTTCCTCCTCTTCCTCCTCCTCCTCTTCTTCATCTTCCTCCTCTCCCTCCTCTTCCTCCTCCTCCTCTTCCTCTTCCTCCTCTTCCTCTTCCTCCTCTTCCTCCTCTTCCTCTTCCTCCTCCTCTTCCTCCTCCTCTTCCTCTTCCTCCTCCTCCCCAGTCGCCCCTCCCACCGCCTGCCACGCGCCCTCCACGCGTCGCCTCTGCCGGGCCCCGCTGCTCGCGGGCATGTCGAGCCACCGCCTTTCCGCCAGGCGGCGCGCCTGTTCGGGCCGCATGCCCGGCGTCGCCGCCATGAGGCACGCGCTCTCCGCGGCGCAGAAGTCCATCATCGCCATCTCCACCGCCGACAGCACCCGCTCCTCGCCCGCCCTGCGCGGGGACATTCCGCCGGGGGGCGAAAGCGCGCCCGCGGGGGGAGGGGAGCGTGCGCGCGTGCTAGTGGGGGAGGAGGGGCGCATAGCGGAGGCGGTGGTGAGCGTGGAGGTCAGGGAGACGTCCGACAGGGCGGGACGCGCGCGGGCGGCGAAGGTAGCGGGGGCAGGCGCGGGGGCAGCGGTGGGAGTGGGTGCGAGTGGGGGTGCAGATGCCAGTGGCGGGACGCCGAGGCGGAGCGGGTCGAAGCGGGAGAAGTTGGCGAGCTGGTGCATCAGCAGACAGCCCGTGGGCACGCTCACTCCGTCTTGGGGGGTGAGGGGGACGGGAGGGGGGTGGGGGGGACGGGGTGTTGCTTAAGCTACAGCCGCATAAGACGGTGAGACCAGGCGATTCGATTGCGGGCTGGAACGAGAGACACAGGAACTACGAGAATCTAAAACCCGACAACAAAGAACACGTGAGGAAATGTTTGTCTACGAAATGGGTTTTCTACGGAAGTTGGGTCGAGTAAAGTGAACTGAGGGGAAAGAAAAACCAACAACAAGAACGACGTCCGGCATTAAATGGAAATACGGCGATCGCTCAAGCGGGACGACAATGTGCGTCCGTGCCACTTGCCGAACGTCTCGAGCGAGCGAGCGAAGCGAGCACGTACCAGCGGCGAGGCGGAAGACGGTGGCGATCTCGGCCAGCGCGATTTGCATGTTCTCCGCCGCGCCCGCCATCACCAGCAGCGCCGCGCGATCGCCGTCGCCCGATCGCTGCACGTCGCTACTCCGCCCGTCCATGGCACGCGGGGAGGGAGTTCCTAATACGCGTTAACAACTTAAAGGCCGTGCTGCGTTAACACAAAAGCTTAGAACTGGACGGACGAGAATCGTCCTAAATGGCTTCCTGCGATAGGCCCCCTGAGCAGCACTGCAAGCCATATAACCAAGGGCAGGACTGCCACCCACGATGCCAGGTCTACCTTATCCCTCCTCACTCAGGATTCGAAATTGGATCCTGGCAGACGGGCGAGCTCGCTCATCTGGTCACGTGATGGTGGCTGAAACCTTGCAGCGAACTCTTTGGGGTTACAGTGGCGACCCTGCGACGCCCAAAGCAACGACTGCAGAGCCTCGCCATGGTTGGTTTGCGATGAGGGCAACGCAACGTTTAAAGCCAGAATATACATTTAGGTTGGCAGTTTCAAAATTTAAAGAGTTGAACAAGACTCGATGTAATCTTCGGGTGGGTTGCGTGTAACAACCCATATTTTGAAAAAAATCATTTCCCCCCACCCTTTTCTTTCCATTTTGCTTTCATTTGTCCACTATTAAAATTCGTTATTCAAATATTTAAAGATAAATGATTAGGAAATTGGATACGTTTTAAAACCACAGGCTAGAAAAGCACACCTTGGGCACTCTTGAAAACATAGTTTTTTGGGGGTGAGAATAAACGAGACGGAAAAAAAAAAAAAAAAAAAAAAAAAAAAAAAAAACGTGTTGCAATAGTTTGAAACGTAGCGAAAGGGCCACGACACACCAAACAGGTCCACGACTTCGGCGGAACACGGTGCGACAAGTGTGAAAGTCGCACAATTTGTCGAATGCGACTACTACCCTCGAACACGTCGTTCAACAGCTCTAAGGGTGTGATTCACGATTCAAATGAGATTAGGTCATAGTCAGTCAAGCTTAGGAAGCCATTATCAAACATATTTGTAAATGTTTAATAGACTACATAGGGTCTTGCCATAGAGAGTACAACCCAGTAGCTATATACTCCAGTATTCTCTCATTCTGGTCATTCGTTCTAACTCTAAGATGGTATCATGAATATGTTAGGTCCCACGCGCCCACCTGCGCTTCCGCCTTAGGTCCTAGCCTTCCCCGACCCTGTTCCCTAGCGCCTAGCCGCCCGTGGCCCCGTCGGCCACCGTCACCTAGCCGCCCGCGGCCCCGTTGCCCTGCCCCGTCGTGCCTAGCCTCCCCGCTGGCCCCGCAGCCCCGTCGCCTAGCGCCCAGCCGCCCCGCGGCCTAGCCGCCCCGTCGCCTAGCCGCCCCGTGGCCCCGTAGCCCAGCTGCCTCGTGGCCTCGTTGTCCAGCCGCCCTGCGGCCTCGTCGTCCCAGCTATCCCGCGGCCCAGTCGCCCAGCCTCCCCTGCGGCCCCGTCGTCCCAGCTGCCCCGCGACCCCATCTCCCAGCTGCTCCGCGGCCTCGTCGTCCCAGCTGCCCCGCGACCCGTCGCCCCAGAAAGCTTTCAGATTCAGAGAAACCTAGGGCCGCGACCCCGTCTCCCAGTTGCTCCGCGGCCCCGTCGCCCAGCTGCCCCGCGACGCGTCGCCCCTCCGCGCCGCGGCACCGTCACCCAGCCGCCCCGCGGCCCTGTCGCCCAGCCGCTCCGCAGCCCTGCTGCCCAGCCGACCCGCGACCCGTCGCCCTGCTGCTCCGCGGCCCCGTCGCCCAGCCGTCCCGCGGCTCCGTCGCCCAGCTGCCCCGCGGCCCCGTCTCCCAGCTGCTCCGTGGCCCCGTCGCCCGGCCGCCTTTCGGCCCCGTCTCCCAGCTGCTCAGCTGCCGAAGTTCCCGGTCCCCGCCCGCTTCACCTGCCCTCTCTACCGTCCTTCACCGCGCCCCACTGTGCCGCACCACCCAGCACCGCACTGCATTGCACCCCACCGCATTGCACCGCGACCCACCTCAATGCACCGCACTCTACCATACAGCACTCCTTCCCACCGTTCCTCGTCGCTCCGTCGCCGTCTGTTCGCGGTAGCAGCGGCCTTCATGGCGGACTCGGTGCTGCGCTTTGACGCGGAGGGTCAGCCGATTGAGTTCGACTCATGGCTCGTCGATCTTCGCCGTCACCTCACTGGTCAGCGGCAGGACGACCACTCCCTGGCCGTCCATTTTCAGGGTTGTGCTACCGCCCAGTGTACTTACTCTGACTGTTTTGCGGCTGTAGCTGAGAGAGCCCCTGCTGCTGAGACCGCTCTCGTGGTGGCAGCAGCGTAGTCCTGTAATGGTAAGGCTCGTCGTCCCAAGGCTCGGCGCGGCGGGGGTAGTGGAGGAGGGGGTGGAGGTGGTGCTGGAGGTGGTTCGTCCGCTGGCAGTAGAACAGATGAGGGGGCTGGGGCTGGTGCCTCAGAGTAGCAGCAGGTGCCACAACTTGACCAGCAGCAACTGCGGCAGCCACAACAGCAGCAGCAACAGTAGTAGTAGCAGTCGGCGCGGAGGGTCGGCCGCCTCCCGCCTGGGTGGCCTAGAGGTGGTGGTGGTGGTCGCAGTGGTCGTGCGCGTGGCTCGGCGTCAGGTGGTGGTGCGAGTGACGGGCGCCGCTAGTACCAGCTCCAGACCAGTCCTTGCCGCGGCCTCGTGTGCGACCGGTCATACCCCCTCTCGCTGTTTCAGTCGCCTGGACAACCTGTTTCGTCTTCGCTTTGGCCCCGCGCCGAACCTCCCTGACTGGCAAAGTCTGCTCCGCCGTGGTGTTAGGATCTTTGATATGGACATCGATGAGATTAGCTTTGCATTGTATGTGCTCCATGTCGATGACTCTAGTGGGACTGGTTCCTATTACCCCATGTTGCCTAGTGTAGGTTGTAAGAAATAGAGTTGAAATGATTGATTAGGTAAGGAGCCTAAGGCTCTATAAGTACATGGCAAGGTGAGAGTGAATGGATGAAGGGGGAATTGGAAGGAATCCCCATTAGGATCACCGGAATCTCCAATTGGGTAATTGGAGATTGGGGGGATCACAATTGGATGAGGTTGGGATTTGTGAGTACACCCCAACCCACTAGAACATTCATAACCTAAACTAGGATATAAAAGTACAAATACAAAAGTGGTATTTGCAGTCTATTTCTAACACACCCCCATAGACTGCAAACCCGGTCAAGGAGCACATAGCCCCATGGAACGGAGAAGGCGATGGTGGTCAGCCTTGCCGAGAGCCTTGGTAAAGAGGTCGGCGAGATTGCAATCTGAGGCGATGTACCGTACCGTCAGCTGGTCACTCTGAACAAGATCTCGGATGAAGAAATGACGAAGTTCGATGTGCTTGGTGCGAGAGTGGAACACAGGATCCTTGGTGAGGTGAACGGCACTCTGGTTGTCACACCACAGGGTGGGCAACTGCTGGGGGTAGCCTAACTCAGCGAGGAGAAAGGAGAGCCAGCGTGCCTCTTGAGCAGCCATTGTGCCCGCGTAGAGCTCGGCCTCGCAGGACGACAGGGAGACTGCAGAGGACCGAGTGGAGCGCCAGCTGATGACTCCGCTACCAAGGGTGAAGCAGTACCCTTGGGAGGAGCGTCTGTCAGTCTGGTCATCGGCCCATGAGAAGTCTGTGTATCCCTCGAGCTTGACTGGAGAGGTACCACCAAGAGTGAGGATGTGAGACTTGGTGGCTTGTAGATAGCGGAGGACCCTCTTGGCTGCAGACCTATGCGAGGCAGTGTTCTGTCCAGGGGAGACGTACCGAGAGAGGACACTAACTGGGTAAGCCAAGTCTGGTCGAGTGCACATCATGGCATACATGAGTGAACCGACTAGCTCAGGGTACGGGTCCTTGCAGGCGTTAGGAGAAGGAACTGGAGGGGCCGTGAGCTGATGCTGTAGTGGGAGTGGAGTGGAGACAGAGTTACTGGAGTCCATGTCGAACCGCTTGAGAAGGTTGTCGACGTAGGACTCCTGGGAGAGGGTGATCGTGCAAGCCTGGCGGTCACGAGTGATCTCCATCCCCAGGTAGTTCTTGAGGTCACCAAGATCCTTCATGAGAAGGGCGGAGCTGAGAGCAGACTGGACAGCTGCCATGTCGGCTGGATCTCTGGCGGCTAGAATGAAGTCGTCGACGTAGACGAGGATGTAGAAGGGCTC